AGTTCGGTCTGAGGTTCGAATCCCGCGAACGGACTGGCTGCATGGGCGTTTTCGTGGTTTTCCCCATGTGTAACGTGTATATGAGCCAGTTTCCCTTAGAAAGTCCTCCACGAAAGGCATCCCTCCCCCTAGGCAAATAGCCCTAGTGTGCTTTGCCATAATTAAATACACCACACCACCTTTAGCATGATTCATACCTGAATTAGAGAGAGCATGTTTATCGTAATGAATAATTTATTGAGATAAGCGGTGTCTGTTATTGCAAAATATATTCCTATTTTCCTTTTTATTTATAATAACTCTTATTTAGAATTTGTGTCATGTTAATCTGCTTTCATGTTCATTATTTTAAGAGTGAAATATTAATGATGTTAGCAGCGCAATAAAACTAGTTTGGTAAATTAAAAAAATATTTTTATACGAATGTGTAGAGTAAAATATATGATTAGAATTCTGTGAATTTTGATATTGCTTATGTGGAATTTTTGAAAGTATATTCCATTGCTATTAAATTAAATCCTCATTGCTTAAACTTACATATAATTAATGCTAAGAATTGAATTTTATTCTTATATTCGGTCATACTGCATTATATTTTAAATAATTAGCGTTGAAATTATTTCTAATTTTTCAAGATATATGTATATGTATACAAAAGCAATTCTGTTTAAGAAACTTCTGATTGCAAAGGTGTTGTTATTTTGCATTTTGTGTTCAAAATATATTTAAGAAATATTAATATTTCTTTATTGTTCTAAGTTGTTAATGAAGATATTATATTCGAAATCAAAAGGTATAGTAAATTTCAATAGTTTCCCTTTCCCTATTCTTATAATTTCTGCCAGTGAACAATATTAAATTAGATTAGAGACTTTTTCAACTATTTAAAGAAAAAAAAAACTTTACATAAATCCCCTTCGAGATGGCGTATTTAGGCAAAGGCCGCAAAGAGGACCTTAAATTACTAGCTTTAGAGCTTGGATTACAAGTTGCAGATAACTTAAAAGTTGTGCAATTGCGAGATCTGATAACGAGTTCTAAAACCTATGATGAAGAATTTACAAAAATATGTTAAGTAACATAATCGATGAACGCGTAAAAGCCGAAAAAGAAGCTGAAGATAGGGCTGAAAAAGAAGCAGTAGAAGCAAGATTAGCCAAGGAACGCGAGTTTGAATTAGAAAGTTTAAACTCCAACTTGAAGTTAATAAGAATATGCCAAAGGAATCTGTTTCTCAAGTAGATCAGCCTAAATTTGATTTGAGTCGCATTCTTCCAAAATTTAACCCAAAGGAAGATGAGATAGGACTTTATCTGACCATGTTTGAGCGTCAATTGAAGTTCGTAAATATACCTGAAACTGATTGGATCCCATACTTGATTGGATCATTACCATCTGAAATAAATTAATTAAGGAAAACGAAGAGGATTCTAAAGATTATGCAAAAGTAAAAGTTATGCTTTTGAAGCGATATAGACTCACTGATAGGTTTCGACAAATGTTTTCTCAGCATAGAAAATCTGCAGAAATTACATGGAAGGACTTTGCTTTTGAATTGAAATCTTATTTTGAAGGATGGATTAAAGAATTGAATATCTCTAGTTTCGAGCAGCTACAAAACTTGATCATTGCAGATCAAATAAAGAAAAGAACACCTTCCGAGGTAAGAGAACATTTTGTGGACAGTTTATCAGAAATGAACAGTCCGTTGGAGCTCGCAGAAACGCTCGATTATTATGAAAATGTAAGACTTGGCATGAAGAAAAATGGATCTTCCAATGCAAAGATTTGGATTTTTGGATTATTCAGTTATGGCAAAGCACACGAGGGCTATCTGCCTAAAGGAGGGATGCCTTTCGTGGAGGACTTTCTAAGGGAAACTGGCTCGTATACACGTACACAGGGGAAACCACGAAAACACCCATGCAGCCAGCCGTTCGCGGGATTCGAATGACCGAACTACCAGTGTTCAACCGCTCGGCCGCTGGTGGGCTCCAATGCAAAGAAACCATATTGTAAAGAAAATATTAAATTTGTTCCAGAAGAAAAATCTAAAACTAGTAATCCTAAAAACGTTAATCAGATTAAAAATAGAAACGTTGATAATTCAAAATTTACAAATTCTAGACAAGAAAGGAAATCTTCTATTCATTGCTATGGTTGTGGACATCCCGGTTTCATACAATCAAAGTGCCCTAAATGTAATAAGTTAAAAGAAGAAGTTAAAACTGTCGTCAATTGTGTAAAATTGCATGCAGTTGAATCATTCGATCTACTGTCCAGTTCCATTTTTTTTAACTGTTTGTGGAGAAAAAGCAGCCTTTTGCGCTGATACAGGAGCATCGAATTCCATTGCAGGAGAAAGATTTTATAAGTTGTTACGAGATCGAGGGCTTGGATTTAAACAACAAATATTACGATGGTATTAGCTGATGGCAAGGAAAGAAATGTTCAAGCTTTGACTACAGTGGTAAATCTTAATGTTGAAGTAAAGATAGTCCGTATGAAATTTATTGCTTTGCCAAAAGCAAAAGGTAACAGGACGTTACTTGGAACTGATTTCGTACAGGCTGCGGGAATAGTGCTCAACATCCAGAATGGGACTTGATATTTTAGTGAAAATTCACAGAAGCAGTATGCCTTTTACAAAGAACCATCTGAAACTAAAGAAATTCTAAACGTACTAACATCTCTGAAAGTAACATCTCCAGAAACAAAAACATCTGCTGACACTCCTGTTGCAATACCGGAAGCAACCGAATCCGTGAAGTTGAGAGATGATGAAGGAAAACATTTGACGAGAGAACAACGGAAGAAATTAAATTCATTGTTAGAAGAGTATAAAACTAGCTTTCAGCCAGGGGGAGAGCCTACTCCTTATATTGAGCACAGAATCCAGACCGGAAATAATTTACCTGCCGAACCACCATATAGAATGACACCCGCGAAGAAAGAGTTGTTAAAAAAGAAGCTAGATTCCTTACTAGCTCAGGGTATCATTGAGGAATGCGAATCACCCTATGCGAGCCCTGTTGTGTTGGTCCCTAAACCTAATGGTTCCATCAGACTGTGTATAGATTATCGAAAATTAAACTCCCAAACCGTTCCAGATACCTATCCATTACCAAGAATGGATGATTTGCTAACTGAAGCCAAATCAACGAAATACATGTCTACCATTGACCTAAGAGCAGGTTATCATCAAGTTAAAGTTCATGAAGCAGATCAAGAGAAAACTGCCTTTGTGTGTCCATTTGGTACTTTCAAGTTTTTGCGAATGCCATTTGGGTTGCGGAACGCGCCTGCAACTTTTCAACGACTTATTGATAAATTTAGATCAGGGTTAAAAGATGTTTTTGCATTGTCATATCTCGACGATATCATAGTGTTATCAGAAACATTTGATAAACATTTATCAGATTTGAGGAAAGTGTTTGAAAGACTTTCTGTGTTTAAACTAAATGCTAACAGGAGCAAATGCCATTTTGCTTGTGACAGAGTAAAGTATTTAGGTCATTGGATTACAGAAGACGGTGTAGAGGTAGATGCCGAGAAAGTATCTTCCATTCAGAAAATTCCTAAACCAACATGCGTAAAGGAATTTCCTATAGACGTGTTCCTGGTTCCGAAGATATGTCCCTAATTTTTCAGAAGTTGCTAGACCCCTTAGTGACTTAACCAAAAAGAATAAACAGTGGACATGGGGTGAAACCGAACAAAAAGCATTTGAAGAGTTGAAAAAAAAAAGGTTGATTTCACCGCCTGTGTTATCTCAACCTGACGGAAATAAACCGTTCATCATTAGGACAGATGCCAGTAATTATGCTTTAGGAGCAGTCCTTATCCAAGGAGAAGGCCCAGAGGAACGTGTGATTGAGTATGCAAGTCGATTGTTAAACTCAGCAGAAAGAAATTATTCAACTACCGAAAGAGAAGCTCTTGCAGTAGTTTGGGCTCTTGAGAAGTTCCGCGGTTATATAGAAAACCAAGAAATAATAATTGCATCTGACCACCAACCTCTTAAATGGCTAATGAGTATTAAATCACCATCTGGTCATTTGGCTCGATGGGCCCTTCAAATCCAGTTATATCATCCAAAAGTTGTCTACACTCCAGGAAAATCCAATGTTATAGCAGATCTTCTTTCTAGACCATCTTATGCAAATAATGACTTCGGAATACTTTGATAAAAGACGTTTGTGATTTAAATGCTGTTTCTATAGATTTACCATCCCAGAAATCTAAAGACATTCGTGAGGAACAAATGAAAGATGAAGATGTAAGGAAGATTATAGATTGTTTTGAGAGTGGCAAAAAAGATGAAAATTATGTAAATTGGACTAGTAGAGGATATCTCATGAATCAAGGAGTTTTGTATCGTTACTCTTCCGACACAGACTCGAAGAGGCTCAGTTAGTTGTCCCTTGTCAAGAGCGAGAACGAGTCCTACAGCAGTATCACGATTTCCACACTGCAGGACATTGTGGAGCTGAAAGCACGTACCATAAGATTGCCCCCAGGTATTACTTTCCTGGTATGAGAAAGTATATCTCAGAATACGTGAAAAATTGTGCTGAGTACAATCGGTATAAACCAAATAACCAGAAACCTGTTGGATTACTTAGAACACCTGTGTACGCACAGAGGTTTGAAACACTTGCTATAGACCTTTTTTGGCCTACTTCCAGAAACCCCAAGTGGGAAAAAATGGATTTTTCTTATTGAAGACATCAGTACGAAATGGGCAGAGCTCTTGGCCTTGGAAGAAGCCACTGCGAAAAATTGTGCAAAAATTTTAATTGAAGAAGTTTTTTTACGTTATGGTTTACCCAGAAGATTGATTAGTGATAGTGGTACACAATTTGTTAGTGCGGTAATGCAGCAAACCTGTAACTTCCTTGGTATTAAACAAGAACTTATTCCTGTTTATCACCCTCAAGCGAATCCCTTCGAACGAAAGAACAGAGATTTAAAACCCAAACTAGCCATACTAGTCGGTGATGCTCATGATACTTGGGATTCGTTTTGCCATGAATATAGCAATATGTGACACTGCAGGTCATACCGCTGCTTATTTGCAGTTCGGAAGAGAACTTAGGACGACGGATGACGTTAATCACAATTTAAGAGCACTTATTGAAAACGGAAACTTTGTTGCTGAAATTACGCCGTATCTGAAAGAATTCGCTCGTTTGACACTTCAAATTAGGGAGCGTGTCGAACAAAAACATGACAAAAGAAAGGAATACTTTGATAAAAGACGTAGACAAACTTACTGTCAGCCTAGTGATAAAGTATGGATAACTATACATCCAATCAGTAAACCCATACACAAGAAAAGTAAAAAATTTATGCCTAAACGCGAAGGTCCGTATCTAGTGATTACTAACAGATCTCCCACAACATATGACATTGCAGATCCTGCTACTTCTGATCAAGTGTTAGGTACTTATCACACCAATATGATGAGACCATACAAACTGCCTCCATCGAAAGACCAAGGTCCTGTGACTCCCATAAGGAAAAGAGGCAAACCTCGCAAAATTGAACTATCGAACACGGACTCTTTGCCGGGACGTCGTCAGAGCCCGAGGGGGAGTCTGTAACGAACGCTAGCAAACAGCCACACGTACTGCAGCGTCACCTTTTCGGACGCTATTCAAAAACACCTACGCCCGAACTAGTTAGTTCGAGTTTCGGCAGAGGACTATGAACATGTACTTTTTATTTTCATTTGAGTAATATTTCTTTGTGTTACTTCTTGTTAGTTTTGTCATGTAACTTTCTTTATGTAGCGTTTGTGTTTAATTAAATTCCTTTTGTTAAATGTTAAAGTTTGTCTTGTTTAAATTTTACCAGTTTTGTTTAACAACTTTACAGCTAGCCGTGGTCACAACGCTACACAATTAAATATATTCATGATTTGCTTATTCCTAATGTTCCTTGTCCACAGAAGAAATAGCAGTTTTATGTCGCTGACGAAGAAAGTGTTTTATTTTAAATTTATTTAATATATTTAAATATCTCTATCTATTTATCTATATTTTATCTCCTTTGACAAAAGTAGTTAGATTTCTATTGGAAATTATGCAACCGCATTATAGAAAAACGTCGGCGCCCTACAACCACCCAATTTTGATGTTACGCGGAACCTTGTGTCGCGAATATTACATTTCGAACTTCAAATTCTGTCAAATTTCGTGAAAATTTAAGAAAATGATTAAAAACTTTGCGATTTAAAAGCTTTGTGTTCCCACTCAGCAAAAAATAAAACATTTTGGTTTCAAATTTAATCATAAAACTCAGAGATATAAAATAAATGCACTGCCGCTCGCCAAAACACAATACCAAGACAGAAGAGAAACGCGCCAAATTAAGAACATAAAATTAGGCAAGGAAAAACCTCGTGTCTGGCGTAGATTTTAATCAAGACTCTATCGATTTCGAGGGTCCCTCTTCATCAAGAGTAAGGAAATCTGCAAATTTCTTTGCTCCTGATTAAAATTTACTCTAAACACGTTGTTGCTTTGCCTAATTTTACGTTTTTAAAGCACAATATACGTGTGTCTTGAATTGAGTCAACAAATTCGAAGATTTAAAAGAAATGTGTTGCCGTTGCCCAAATTAAGAAATTTTTTATCTTCCACATGGCAGTGTGCTGCCGTTCAGATAAGTGTAAAATATTTAAGTTTTCTTTCAAATTTAGTCTGTCACTAATTAACAAACGCTAAACGTTTTAAAAGCAATAAACGCAAAATTAATTCACTTATTATTAATTGTTAGCTGAATTCATTAAAATCAGTATAATATTTTCGTTTTATAATAACTACTTCAAGCGGCTAATAAAGTAAAATAGCAAATATAATATCAAGCGCATCGAAATAAATTTACAAAATTTCAGGATCATAAACCAGTTACTAATAAAGATATTAGCTTTAAAAATGCATTTAGTTTATGTGTATGTAGCATTTCAAAGGTACCTGGCCCCTTAAAAATGGAAAGCAACACATACAGAAGTTCAGACAAACTCTGCTAAGCTGTTTACAGCATCTCTTCCCCGAACGATAAGGAGAAATCCCAACTTTGAGCACTACCTCCTCCCCGGGGAATGCAACAAAAACTGATCTTGAACGATAAATCCCGAATCATCCCTGAGTTCGCACCAGTGCGTGAAAAGAGAATTTCCTATGGGGTATGATGTATAAAAAATTGTTGGGAAGCACTGTTCCAGTAGCAGAAGGCCTTCATCGTTCAAATCACATTCCCTTCCAGTAGTCACGTGGGCCATTCTTTCCTTTCAGCACGTGTCATTTTATTCACTTATTTAACAATAAGGGAAAAAAAATCTTAAATAAGTGAAACATTAATGAAAGTAACCGGAACAGATGATTAAAAGTAAGTAGAATAGCGCGTGGGTAGCGAAGTCAACTTTTAAATGAATTGCAAGAAATTTCCGGGTGCATACACTTGACCTCTAAACATGATTATTTCCAATTTTAGCCAGTCGCTGATAGACCTTAACTCGCTAATGCATGCTCAAGCAAGCGTATCAAAATGACGAGTAGAGACGCAAAGTATTGTTATCATACACTTTTCTTAATAACATGAGTTATGGCAGAAAAGTACTTTTTAGACGTCGAAAAGCTAAAAGAAAATAGCTATTCGATTAATTTCTCTGATTGAAGGAATATATGAAAGATTATACTTAAAAGAAGAATAAACCGAATTTCACAATAATAGCCAAGTTAAAATAATATTTCTAATATGATCTCTGAAAAAGAAAGAAAATGCGCATAAAAATAATTATCGCAATATAAGGCTAAGAAACAATAGCTCACATTTGTTGCTATAATTGTTACACCTCAACAAAACAAACACTCTTTCGTGGCACAGTAAACGATAGTTTAGTCGATAACCAGTCTGATATTTGGTTGCCCACTGCAAGGATGGGATTAAAGCGAAAACCGCCATTTAATTTCAAGTAAACATCCTGGATGTTTTGCAACTTTAAAACACAGATTTAATTTTAATTTCTAAAACAAAAGTTTTTGGAATGATATCAGATGACCATAGAGGCCAAAACGTTAGAATACTATTATGATATTATATCAATTCAAATTATAAGTGAATCATTATTCACAACAAACCAAGCGTTAGAATGTGTTCCCTGATAAGTAGCAATCCAGAAGTCAGAATGTGTTCTCGACAGTGGAACACATTTTGACTCCTCGTCCTTCTACTTAGAAACACATCCACTGTTCCTAGGTAAAAGCACTGGACTAATAAAGTTGCTTTTTTCAATTCCATTCAAATCCAACATAGCATCAATGTAAATTATAGGTGAATTATTATAATATCTACATCAATCCAAGCAGAGTCCCCCCGACAGCTGGGTTACTAGCAGTCCGGGACTCGTGGATCACTACCAATCAAGGAAATACATCAAGTGTTTTGTCTTGGTGTCTCATAATGTAATCCATCCATAGTAAAATCGCATCAGTTTAAATTATAAAAGATAAATTATTACCATATGTACACCAATCCAGTGTTTCAAATGTTTCCCCGACACGTGAATCATAACAATACTTCAATCAGCGAACATATCCAGTGTTTCTTTTAACATTTAATAATATATTCTCCTGAATGAAGCCTTTCGAAATTCCATCTAAATAATACGTGCAGCATTACTGTACCTATATCATCCCAAGCGTCTAGATCACTGATAGTTAGATAACTAACAATCCTTCTATATTGAATACATTAAGTGTTTCTCTTAATGTCTATTAATGAAATTCATCCAAATCTGACATCGAATCGTTTTAAATTCTAGGTAAATTACTACCATATCTACATCATAGCAAGCATTGGTATGTGTTCTCTGACACATATTATTTTAATGCCTAATAATGTAATCCATCCACATCAAATTAAATTACATGTGAATTATTATCTCCGACACGTGGATCGCAATCAATCCTTCAATCATAGAACATAACCAGCGTTTCTTCTAACGTCTAATAACATCTTCTTCTCAATGAAGCCTTTTTAAATTCCATCCAAATGACACGTAAAACATTACTATACCTATGTCAATATAAGCGTTTGGATCTGCACACTGATAAGTGGATCACCACCAATCCTTCCTTCAGGGAACATATCGAATGTTTTTCTTTAAGTCTAATTACTTCTGCTAGGCGGTGACTTTTAAAATTCTGTTCGGATTTCTTTTTTTTTTCCCTTTTTTCTTTTTTTTTCTTTCTCTTTTTTTTTTTTTTTTTTTCCTAGTCTCTAGTGAAGCGAACATATGATGATTAACACAGACGCTGCTGCCATAAATCACATCTAAAAGAAGACACAATACGTCAGCATCAACATTACGCGTTACTAAAATGTCTATGACGGTTACTGGTTTGGAGCGAATTCTTTCTAGAAGCTACTTTGAAATGGGAACTTTTAGTCTTACTTTTATGAAAATAAAATAGACAGAAAATTAAACGTTGAGCAGCTGAAGAAACTTCCAGCTATTTTAAATCATCCTGACATTTCTCCAAGTCGCTGTCGTCTCATGTTTCGTTTCAAAGCCTATCTTGCCACCTTAATTCACTAATTCGGAATGACAGATGCTTTGAAAACAACTTACCGGACAAAGCTTCCTTGGCATGTTTCAGTTCTTTATCCATTTGTTCTAATTTAGCGGCCATGGCAGCGTTTTCTTTAGCCTTTTCGTCTCTAGATTCCATTACCTCCTCCAGATCCCTGAGTAGTGCACTGTTCTTGATTTTCAGAGCCTCGATCTCGGCCATCAACTGCACGACGGAAGTCGGGGTGTCGTCTTGGGATTTGGATGCATCTGAAAGAAGTTTCGAAAGGTGAGATTCGAGTGTCATACAAAAAATTAAGTAATGCAGTTTTAATCAAAAAAGAAAGGTGCAATAAATCAAGACTAAGGAAACTGGGTTAAGCATTTTATTCTTCATTATTGGTTTTAGATACGACCATCAATTGATATTGCAATTTTGGTTGCTTTCGATTGCATACGGTATTGCAATTTCATTTAATAATTATTGCAATTGCATCACCGGTATTGCAAAATAAAATTCCATGTTTCCTATTAGTATCATAACTCAGATAATTTTTTTCATAAGGAAGCGGAAGCGAAAATTTTGGGATTTGTTTTGATAAACGAAAAAATGTAATCATCTAATGCAGATCTTGCATGAAAATTAAATGGCTTAGAATCAAAATTTTTCAAATCCTCAGATATCTGTATTTTTTATGCTACTTGAGAAGTAGATTATTTTTCAATAAAATATCTTGAGATTTTTTTTTCAGAAGATACAATGCACAATATTTGATTAACGTAGTTGGTTTGCATTCGTACGATAGAAAAAAATGCAGATCGACACTGCATAAAGTTAATACAATATAAAATCGATAAAATCATCAACCTTATTTTGTTTTAAACAATTATTTTAATTTTAAGAAGCTTTCCTTTCCCCTCTGATTTTCAATTCCTGCCAGAATGAAAATTTAGATGACGTACATGCAAATTTAAATGAGTTCGTAAATAGTATTTAAGTAGCAGAAGTTAAGAGTTCGCGGTATGAGTGTTAGTTCTGAATTTATTGAAAGTAGCTTTATAGTTGAATAGTTGGTGGTAGCCACTTACTTTAGATTCTAGGCTCGGCTTTGCAGTGTACGGCCGATTAAACGGTTTAGATTGAGTAGGAGCCAAAAATTTAAATCATTGTGACTGTGTATACTATTTTGTGTTCAAGTTATTTAGCCGCAAGTGATAGATAAATTGTGAGCACCGAGTGAGTGCATTTTCTGTTCAGTTTAATTAAAATAAAAAAGTTATTATAATCTTCGTCTGCAGTCATTTGTTCTTCCACGATCTAGCGAGAATTCACTACTTTGTCTTTCAGTAGGCTCTACAGTTAATGCTCCCAGAATACACAAGAAGACTCTACAAGTGACGCTCGAACTAAAACGAAATGGTGGATGACGATTCTTCACCATCAGGATTTGACTATTAGGTCCCCTAATTCCCAGTCGCTCTTTAAAAGATGGAGTATATAAGGCATTTTCTCCCTCCTTTTTGCATGCCTTCGTGTGTAAAGGTGGTACACTCGGCGGGGTCCAGGTTGGAGTTCCGGCGAGGGCATTGCCCATTTTTCACGTCTCCTCCTGCTTAAAAAGTAACTTAATATCTATACAAACTCTGCATAAAGTCAGCACCGGCATAGGACTGACACAATCATAAGGGTCGTCACAATCGTACGACACACATTTTCTGTCTCTGCACCGTGCACTCCCATGAACACAGAAAGCCTGCTATGATGCTTAAGCTGTTATTGTATGTTCTCTGGAGGAGAAAATATACTTCTTCAAGGAAGAAAATGGTTTTTAAACTCTTGAGGTACAGCTTTCAACAACAAACATCCACTTTCAGACTGTCCCACTTCAACATGAAGTTTTCAGATTTCCAAATCCCCACATTATGCGTATTTTAAACGAAAACAATTTGTTAGGAAAAATCTTTGATATACGTGCAATAACACCATAAACAATTTATAACACTACCTCTTACAGAGTGTTACAATAATATGACAAAGTTGCTGGATTTTGTGGAGATCTTATATAATTAGTAACAGAAGAATTTAGCAAAATAATACAGTGAAATCAAGAGGACTAAAATTGTTTTTTAAAATGTGTGCGCAGGATAGACACCGACACAGTATAAGAGGGCGTAGAATCGAAACAGTTTCTGGGGTGCTCCATTAATATGCAAGCAGAGAGTCTGCCTATCATACTTAGTGTCGATCGTGGGCTGCATTTGTATATCATAAGACGCAAAAGCTGCATTTGTATATCATAAGAGGCAAAAGGCTTATTATTCCGCAGGAATATTAACTGCTACGAATATACAACAGAAATTAAGCAAACAAGTGCTTTAAAAGGATAATTCAAATAGGCGCATAAGACTTCTTCTTCACATATTTGATTTTTATTATAAATCAATAAGCAATTCTGCAAGCAATTATATTATTGGCAGAGCAAATTAAACATTTATTTTTCGGTAAGATCAATCAAATTTTCGAGCAGATTAAATGACGTGTTTAAAAGGCCGAAAGACGAATTCGACGAATTACAAGTATATACAAACAGTTGCTTTATAGTTGGCAAAATCTTTAGTATGAAAAATTTTATCATATTGAAACACTACTATATTCGAAGAAGAGTAAAAATTTAGTTTATTTACTGCTGATAGACGAATTAATAGGTAGCAAAATACAAATTGAATTCGGAAAACCTGTTGCATCATGTTACGCTCGGGAGTGAAGGTATAATGGTTTAGCAATGTTTTGCTGCCTTCGGAAAAAGAAATTACGTATCTATCGAAAACAATATGGATTAGTATAAATATATAAATACCCTAGATGAAAACATGAAAAATGTCACCAAGAAGATTTGAAATGTAAAACGCATTCAAGTTCTATCAGGGTAATGATACTAAACAATCAGCCCTGAGTGCTCGTTTGTGGTTATTATAAAACAGTCCTGAAGTTATAAGAAGCTTCTCCATATTATCCAGACTTAAATCCTATGGAACATGCATGGAATCAGTTGAAGGAAAGAATGAGGGAACAAGATAGCTCTTGAAACGAAAGGTCTATTAAAAGCAGTCCTTACATAGGAATGGAACCAGTAGAACATTCTTACACGAAAAATTAATTGAATCCATGCCGAAGGGCATGGAAAATGTAATTTGAGCAAAAGCATATCGAACAAAAAATTTAACATCCCATTATTTTCATCTTTTTATTACATATAAACTATTTATTCAAAGTGCTCGAGTATTTATGTGATTCAATTTTCAGAAATTTTTAAATAAATTATTTCTTTTGCCCAAAAACGCTTTGTTTACGTTTTTTGAAAATAAGAAGGTTTTAAAAATACATGAAGAATAATAGGTATGAAAGGAAAATACAGTCATTTTGCTAATATTTAGTAATGACTGATATTTGCAAATAAAACTAAAAAACAGAAGTGTCGAAAACAAACATGAGACACTATATATTGATGTTCTAGTCTTAGAATGTCATCAGAAAATAACTAAAAAAAGCGCTTCTCACTTGAGTCAAATTCACTTGTCCTACAAACTCTACAGTTAGATAACACGCACTTCAAACTAAACGTTTCTCGCCTACAAAAATAACTTATGATCCTAAATAAATAAAAATTCTGAAAGCTTTCAGATTTTACATTACACCCAAAGGAGCGGTTTTTTTTAATGGTTTGTGTGCGTTACCTTTATTTATTAAATATCTTGTTCTACGCACTTAAACCATAAAAGTCAATTCAAAAGCAATACCACAAAATAATTTAAAATGAGCACATCTTTAGAATTTCCGGTACTCAGTCTCACGCGCTGGAGATATTTTCTTTTTTCGTACAGTTTTGCCATTGCTCGCTTTAACATCGTTGAATTTGTTAATCAAAAATTCGCTAGAGTTTTACAAATTACGGAATAGATAATAAAACAAATTCCAAATTTCAAATTTGGGCTTCCGTATGCCCACATTCGTCTAGAGGAGTACGTTACTCAAAATTTGATGTCTGTAAGTATCGTTGTTTTCTCACAGTGCGAGAAATATACATACATTCATGCAGATTCTCCATTATTTAATTTATTTAAATATAGTGCAGGGCTCTAATATTTGGAGGCAACAATTTGAAAACTGAAGTACCGTTTATAGTGAACCAGAGCAAAATGCCAAAACTAAGTTAACAGCCCTTCTGGGAAAATTGCTCCTTTGAGCTAATAAGGCTAAAATCATACAATAGCTAATTTGCCCCCATTTACTTCCTAGGATATATTTGTAAAACTCGTATTTGGAACGTCATCTATACCAAGTAAATCTTTCGGGCGAAGAGAAGAAAAACAGGAACTGTAATAATAATAATAGCTTCTTAATTCTGACACATGCAATGCTTTCATTTCCATTTTATTTCCAAATTAACATATTGCAAAATGAAAATAAGTTCCAGCAAAGAGTAGAAATTAAATTTCGGATAGCAAAAAGTTTTATAAATTTTTAAACTAATTATTTACTCAAAATAAAATAATAGTAAACAATAATTTTAAATAATAAAGAAATTAAATAATTTAAGAAATTAAAAATAGCAAATGTAAATAAATAGTGAAATGAATTAAATAATTAATTAATAATATAAATAATAAAATAAAAATTTCTGAAATTCATAAAAGAAAGACAACAAAATAAAACAATTACTTTTAATGGAAAGATAAATATCTAATTAAATCGTTCACCGAATGCTTTTGGAAAATAAATACATCAATAAAAATAAATATTTTATTTCTTCTTAAATATAAGATACACAAAATTAGTACAAAAATCAACCTAAAATATTTCCTCTGAATAAATATAAATCATAAATCTAAGATAAACATCCATTGTAAATCTAAATATATATTTTTAATTTTGGATGAAACAAACTGCGCTGCATGAGTGTTAGTTTGAGTTGTCACAGCAAGTACTCGACCTTTCGCATGAAGAAAAAAAATCGAAAAATTGCTTGTCCAAACCTTTACAAAATATTATGTACAATATCATAATTGCATTCAGTCTTCAATCCTCTTTTTAAAGACTCATTCATTCATTCATTGATGAAAGGTCACTGGTGCTTAGGGAAAACTGTATTACTTACAACTATACGGCTTTTACACAGTCAATACGGCTTTTACACAGAATATTTCAACGGTTGTTTCCTTGCAACGTATTGTTGCTAGCAGGAAAGAATCGTTCACAGGCGAAATATCTG